GTCTATATATATATATATATATATATATATATATATATATATATATATATATATTCCGTAAGATGTGCACATATCCCAGTCCATGGTTTCTGTTTTCAACGTCAAACTAGATTCCGACAAATTATGGGAATTGACTGTATCTTAAACTGGTTTATTTTATCTCCACGCTATACAGAAAATCCTTAATACTTCTTGATTCACAGCTTGTTCGAAATCCTCTTCTGTCGTTCCTGTCTTTAAGAACTCTGAAGAATATTCTGATCGCTAGAATTCTCATTTTAGTTTTATACCTCACTTTGGCAAAATACTCATCACTTTTTTCAGCACAGAATTGGTTATTTATCTCACTTCGCGCGGTTTTCTTTCCGACAAACAATATAGCTTCCGTTTATCTCCGTTAATATCTAATAGGTTAACATTTATTCCAGAAAGTATCTGTCAAGCATTAAATAAGAAACGCGAAGCTAGATTTGTTGCTTTAATCTCGAAGACGTTTGACAGTGTTTAGTGTTCTGGTCTTCTTCACAAACTATGGTCTATGTTGCCCCCATCCAAATGTTTGACTTCATCCAATCCTTTTGAATTGATCGTGTTATCCCCCAAGATTATATCCTTGGTCCTGGGCATGACGATAAATTACATACGGCAGCAAGGCTTCTGATCAGGTAATTTGAAGTTTTGGGGAGCGTGGAACCACCTCTTAAGTGATGTTGTTACCTAGTCCACTCTGACCATGGATGGTAGAATCAGGATCCAAGCTATTCACAAATTGGTACCTCGCAAAGGGGTTAAGGCACTAGAAAAGTATGAAAAAAAGGTTTTAATGCCAGCAATATATTATTGAAAAATATATTACCAGCAATAGTCTTTTGGAAAACATTACTAACATTCATTTTTGAAAAAATATTACCAATAATAGATTTTTGGAAAAAAATATTACTAGCAATAAAACATCTTGTCGGCATTAAATAACCTACTGAGGTTGATATGCGGTAAAACAAAACAAAGCCAAAATATATTTTGGGACAAATTTTTGTTCTTATCTTCATCACTGACCTTTCAGATGTCATCAGTTCCCAACCGAGTATGTATGTTAATGCCATGACTATTTATTCTTCTTTTAATAGTAATTCTGATATGTGTGATAAATTAACAATGGCAAATTGATATCCCAAATTACCTTCACTCAGTTGTCAATTGGTACAAGATATGGCTTATAAATGTTAACGGTTCCAAGTAAAAAAATAACTGTCTTTTATTCAACATCCAGGAGAGTAAGACATTCCTCTTTTTATCTATCACAATTTCCACTTACATGAAGTGAAAGTATCAATTGCTAGTTTTCCTGCTAGGAAATTTACTTCTCTGAGTCGTATATGACATTTTTGTTCTCTCCCGAATTAATCATGGGCGATTATAAATCTACCATTCTTCCGTGCTTTGAAAATTCCTGCAAAACTTTGTTTAGTGTTCCTGTAATATATCTCGACAAAATCCAAAGAATGGTTTGTAATTTTATCGTTGCTGACCTGGCGTTTCCACTTCTGTCATTTTCCCGTTCTCTTGATGTTGCTTCTCTCATTTTTTTTCCCTATAAACATGTTTAAGGCAATTGTTCTAATGTACAATCATCCTTCCGACACTAACCTAGAATTTAGACGTAGTATTAGATTGGCAACTAATAGACTGACAAATACATGCAATAATTTTACTGCTGAAATTGTTAGATATAACCTTAAATTCTATTCTAATAGTTTCTTTTCTCGCAGTATTTTGCTCGTGAAAGACACGTCCCGCTTCGTGTTTTACTGCCACATACATTCCTCAAATATTTAGATTCGGTATCAATCAAGATATTCTGTATTCTTGACCCTGTTCTTTTATTTTAATCTTATTTCAGCCTCCACGCCCCCCAAAAAAAAAATTACATCGTATTGGAAATATCGAATTTCAGGAAGAGAAACTATTAACAAATGTGAGTAAGTGAATGATATAATAGAAAAAAATCTCAAATAATATCTTTTTGTTCTGAGAGTTTCTACAGAATAATTGTTTCTTTTATATGGAATCGATTTTATACACAAAGAGATAAAGTTATGAATAAAAGTACAATACCTGTTACAGCTGACGCCGAAATTTTGAAGATAGAGTTATACATCTATATTTATTTTGTAATGTCAACGAACACTCGTTGCCACTTTTGTAATGTCTACGAACACTCGTTGCCACTTTTGTAATGTCAACGAATACTCGTTGCCACTTTTTTTAATGTCAACGAACATTCGATGCCACTTTTGTTATGTCACTTTCGTAATGCTCGTTGTAGAAACGACTTTGTAATCGCAGATACATCTATAGTAAAGCCGTTTAAAGATATTGGTGCCAGATGCCTTCAAATAACCTCGCATTAATAGTACTTGTGATACTACTCGCTCAAATAGTAACCACTGAATAATGATCCGAATAGAGAAATAGTTTAGTGAATAGTATTTGGATAGAGGATAGTGTAGAAGAATGATCCGTATAGTAATAGAGGATAGAATAGTATGGTGATCGATTAGACGCCACGCTAGTTCCTATATACATTACATTTACCATCACGTGTGTTACTTAGTAAAAATGGGATCGCCTGTGCTTGCTCTCTGGTGATCTGTGTTCAAACTCCAGTGTCGGAAGCGACACTTTATTAATGTATAACAAAATATAATTTTTCGGATCCAATTTCAATAAAGCCAAACATATTGCTTTTAATTCATAAAACTCAAAATTGAATCAGTGAAAACTGATTCTCTGAGTTAATTTCTCATGAAGTGGGGCCTCTGTAGTATATTTAATGTGAAGAATTATTGAAATATATTTATGATGTAGAAAAAAATGAATTTTTAGACGGGAATATTCTTCCTATGTGATGTATTTAACTGGCTTTTGATAAATAAAGTGACATTACATATGTAATTTTAGTACTATTATAAATTGACATATCTTTTTAGAAAGCACTGTTTATGAGTACATATTTATTGTAAAGATTTAGAATCTGTTGTTTTGTCATAGTTGAGATGATTAATGTGTTGACATTAAAATTCTTTAAATTACTGTTCGATGAAGATTAAAGGAAGATGATTTTTATTTTGATTTAACATCGTAAATATTTCGACAATCATCTGGGCAAAAAGTAGGTGAATAATATGTTCATTTTTTCAAGCAAAAAAGGAAGAATCAACGCATCAACTCAAAAATAAAAAAATACAAAATAAGAACATTGATCTCACTTAATCTTGCACCAAATAATCATTACTTATTTGCTTTTAAAACGTAATAGAAATAAGACATCAAAATGAAAGAATTGAATAATAAAGACAGTTCCTTTAACTTGAGGCCAATTCATAAAATCTTTTTGTATAATTCTATCAGAGAAATCGGTCAACTCTTGGCTATAAATTCAGTCTAAGCTATTATATTTGACAGGAAATCCAATTCCCAACAGAAATTCTGAATCAATGAGAAAATTAGAGAAATTCGATCATATCAAGCGATTCCTTTGATCGGAATCGACGTCACATTGCCGGAATAAATTCCCACTTAATATTGCGATAGCAAATGGCAATTGATTTTTCTATACTTTTGCCGTTGCTTCCAGTCAATGTATCATCCAGTGTGTGTGTGTGTGTGTGTGTGTGTGTTTGTTTGTGCATGTTTGTGTGTGCGTGTGTTTGTGCATGTGTGTGTGTGTCTGTGTGTGCGCGTGTATGTTTGTGTGTGCATGAGTGGAATTATTTGCCTAAACACTTCGAATTTTTCTTATAAATACTCAGAGTGGACATAAGTATATCCATGAGGATTTGTTTTTGTTTTTCTTTCGGCATTATCATCCCTTTCTTGGTCATTTAAATCCGAAACCTGTCTATGATTGTAAGAATACATATTTTCTGTGAGTATCTATTGAATTAAATAGATTCAACACTGACATTTTCAGATCCAAGTTCTTCCATTGTGTCAGGAAATACGGGAAAGAAATGGTTGCATACTATGCACAAGTTCTACTATTTAACTTAATTTGTCGACTCATGAGGGCGGACAGGCTTTTCGATCTTCCAGCGGTATTGTCCTATAGCTTAGCAACAATCTAGGTAGAAACCATTCTATCTTTTCATTCAGTGGGAGACGTATCTTTAATCCACTTTTTATAGTTTGCATTATCCTTTCTACTAATCCCTTTGATTACGGATGGTTCTGTAGGATTTTATATGGTTTGCGTCCAATTTTTTTCAACCATTGACATATTTCCTCGTCACAAATGACTAGTGTGTTGTCAGATACTCGCGTTTTTGGAATTTCTGTTCTGGCCAGCCTGAATACGCGTCTATAAGAATTAGTAATAATCTTACTCCATTTAGATGGGCATGATCCATGTGTACTCTGTCCCACGTTTGGGAGTCTTTAGGTCATCCATCTAAAATCTTCTTCTTTGATTGCACATTTGACACCTTTTTATGTATTCTTGTACCTCCGCAATGAACATCGTCATATATACTTTTTTTTTATAATTTTGCTGCTTTGCTTTGCTGGGGAAAAGCACTACGTCTCCATAATTGCACCATTTTCCACAGTTAACGTGTGTTTAACCTCTTTAAAATACCTTTCTGCCCGTGAGCAATTATTCCACTTATTACTTTTTTGATCAATATGGTAATTCGATTTGTATCCTCGGCTAAATTGTTTATCGAGAAAATATCAGTTTCAACCCAGATTCCAATTTTTTTTTTCTTCCAATTTTTCCTCCTCTTTCTCACTTTCAAAAAGAATGAACCTAGTCACGCCAATGCGTCTTCATCAGGCTTGGTATTCCTTTTCCCGTACTCAATATCAAAGTCAAACGCCATTAACATTAAGGCCATCTTAGTATTCTAGAAGACATTACCTTAAGAAGTTTCTTCCTATGAATAAATATGAATTTTAAAGGTCTATCTCTCGGGCAATTTTAGGAATTTCTTTCTATTTAA